ATTTAAATTTGGTGATAAATGATGCCGTTAGCAGTTGTGTGTAAATACTGTTTTTTTTCGCAACGTTGCAAGATTTGTATAACTTTTTCGGAAATATTATCAAACGTTGGGATCTACTGTCAAAATTCACTGGCGAACGGAGTGAAGCAGAGAGTATCAAAAAAATGCTAAATTTCGAGTTCGTGTTGCTTTGCGAATTCATGCACAGTGTATTGAATGACATCAATTATGCATTTTATACGTGGTAGAGCCATGCTGCAGTTATATTAGTAGTATAGTTGTAGCACAAATGGTTCGGCTCCACCGGGGAAGGACCACGTTCTTACAGAATACCAGCGTAAAATAGTAGCTTAATGCTGCTGTGTTTCGTATGGTGTGTGTAAAGAACCGGAGACCATTTTTACTGGAATCGAGGCATTCCATCTTAGTCCTCACGGGTAACAACGCATCTGTATTTTGATTTGTATTCGAGGATAGATGTGGATGTCTATGGGCTGCAGCATCCACTTACCATCAGGTGGACTGTGTGCTCGTTTGTCGCCCTATCCTATAAAAAATGCATCCGAAACTTTACAAAAATGCGACATCAATTTGGGCGAGGCAAGTAAAGCTTTAGCAGAGACCAAAGCAAAGTTGCTAATTTATAGAAATGTTTTGGAACTACTCAAGTGCAGGCCAGTGAAACTGCAAGAAAATACACTATAGATCCCCTTTTTCAAGAAAATAATGCAAAGGAAAGTTAAAATGCATTTTGATGAATTAGCTGCTGATCACTGATTTCAAAATAGAAAAGAAATATTTAAGATTGAGATTTTCAATAATGTACTATAGTCCGTTCGCGTTAAGAAAATAGTGAGTCATCGTTGTCCACCGGCCTGGCCACGCCCCCCAGCCAATTAAAATGCAAGAAATTAGAAAGTCGAGTTCACAGTGACCAGTTGAAGTCAGGCCTTCGAACAAAACGGTTGTGTATTTTGCGTGTTGCTCGTTCAACATTAAATTTGGAAAATGAATACCTCACCTATTCAAAATGATAAAAGTGGATCAATAATCCATAGCGGAGAGAGACGCGTAATTTACAATGTTTGTAAGTACTTTAAACTGTGTGATTTAAATGTGACTGTATTTAATGTGAGAGCACAGTAATAAAAACAGCAAGTGCATGTGGTGTGTCCGAAAATACTGTTTATAAAATTATTAAATAACAAAAGGATATTAACACATTAAAATCACCCGTGAAAAAAAGAGCTCGACTATCGACGGTCGATAAATTAGATGAACTAGACAAATGTGCAATAAGGAGAAAAGTTCACTCAATATATTTAGATAACGACTACCCGACATTGGACAAAATTATGACACTTTGCGAAGCTGACGAAGATATTCCTGTTTTCAGACGTACCACACTTCATAAAAGAATGCACGAGCTTGGTTTCGATTTCAATAAACAGGATAGCAGAATATTGTTAGTCGAAAGAGAAGATATTGTTTTATGGAGGCGTAAATATCTGAGGCAAATAAAAGAATACAGAGCCGCTAATAAAACCATTTACTATCTTGACGAAACGTGGGTAAACGCCGGACACGTAAAGACAAAAGCATGGTTGGATACAACGGTAAAAAATAAAAGACAAGCCTCTCTAGATGGCTTATCAGTCGGTCCAAAAGCTCCGACAGGAAAAGGTAAAAGGTAAATTGTATTGCACATTGGCAGATGGCAGCGACAAAGGATTCGTGGAAGATGGTCTACTAGTATTTGAATCTAAGTCTACAAAAGACTATCGTGAAGAGATGGATGCTGAAAGATTCCTTAATTGGTTCATTAATATAATGCCTAAGCTAGAACCAGGAAATGTGGTTATCATGGATAACGCTCCCTATCATTCGGTAAGAGTCGAAAAAATACCAACAACCAGCTGGAACAAGCAGCAAATAATAGATTGGCTGCAAAGCAAACGCATGATTTATTTAAAAACACATGACTTATTTAAAAAAAGAATTATTAATGAAAGTTGCCGAAATCGCCCCACAATATAATAAATATTTAATAGATAAGACTGCCAAAAGTAATGGCATTACAATTCTTCGCCTACCGCCTTACCATTGCAAACTTAATCCAATTGAATTGGTTTGGGCCCAAATAAAAAATATGTTATTGGTGCCAATAACTCCACGTTCATAGGCTAATTATATACGCATAGCATCAATAGACGCTAATCGTTGGAAGAAGTGCTGCGACCACGTGATACGCGAAGAAAATACCATGTGGAATTTGGATGACATCATGAAACTTGCAGAACAAAATTCTTTTATAATTAATGTAACTGGAGAATCTAGCGATACTGATTAGTGATTTAAGTAATTTTAAGAAAATTTGTTTCCATTAAACTTAATTAAATGTTTGAAAAAAAAAAAAGAATTTTTACTCCACTGTGAATACACCTTTACCCTGTAGTTGCATTGATGACTCACTATTTTCTTAACGCGAACGGACTATAGACCCATTAATAGCTCAATTAAATACCTACACGTTCTACTCGTATGCGTGCAGTCTTTCGATTATTCGATTTCTTACACCAACATTTTTATTACATGTTGATGAAGCAACTTTATTAGAAGTGTGACGAATTCCAAAGAAAATATTCAGATACAATAGACCCTAGTTTTCACTTCAATTTATTAATATTTAATACCTAGTTTTACCTCAAATAAGTCAAGCATGGACTGTTCACCAATTACGTAAGGAAATAATGAGCAAATATGGAGTGCTAGATTGCGACCTGACGGAAGTATTTACAGCAATGTTATTATTCTTTACAATTCCTATTTAGCAAATTAAAAAAAAATAAATAGTATGGGCCAAACTCGACACACATTTATCGCTAATAACAATTGAAAACGAAACCGCATCATGTCTGGATTTAACCGAAGTCAGTGATACTTCTGCGAAAAGAGGGTAGGAAAAGATTGTAAATGTAATTGCTATTTAGTCAGTTGGTAAGTCCGACCTTTCTATAATAAGCATTTGAATCTTTTCTATTACATTTTATTGCCCAATACCTACACTAAGTAATAACTGTAATTTATGTTGTTACTGTTTAATATTTTATTAACTGCCCTGCAGCACGAAAAAGTGCTGATGATAAAGCAAGTTTAGCGCTTTTAAAGTACCTATTTGTATATTTAATATTTTTACTTGATAAAACCTAACCAGTTTAGACATCAGTGGGCCCCCATTTTTTGATTTGCCCCAGGGGCTTTGGTTACCTAGCTACGCCACTGACTGACCATACGAAACAGCAGTATTAAACTACTATTTCACGCTGGTATTCTGTGAGAGCGTGGTCCTTCCCCGGTCGAGCCGACCCATTCGTGCTACAACTATAGTACTAATATAATTGCAGCATGACTACCACGCATAAAAATACTATCGGATTTTTTTTAAATACTATCGGATGTCTATAAACTCTTTAGACAAATTATTTCATTTCTTAACATTGAGCTAGAGGGAACAGTAACAGGGGTGCAAGAATCATGTTGAGTGCAAAGTCTATGGTCCTTAATTCTTATTATGGAAATGAATCCAAGACTTTTTCTGCCACCAGGGCGGCGCAATTTCAAAATGTAGTGTAATATTTGGCATATTTCATAGCGGGGAGGTTAATTTGTTCGACAAATGTAGAGGATAATGTTTGTTTTTGTACTATTCGTTATATTTTATATTAATTGGATAAAAAATAAATAAACCAAACCACTGAGACACTGTAGAAACTGATAAACTTTTATTTGAAAAATCTGTAATTATTATTTACATAGTGCGTAGGTATATAAAACTACAGCCTGTGCTCTTTGAGTCCATAAGTACTACCAGTACAGTACTGGCAGTACTACCTACTCAAACGTTTGGTGACCAGCAACGGTAAGCAGAGTCAGATGTCGCGCAGTTTCGACCTTTGATGTTGCTTTGTATTTGGTCTACCTTATCAAAAGGGATAAAATAACACCTTACTAAAAGGGATAGTAATAAAATACCATCTATTACCCCGAACACTAGTGCGATGTGCAACTTTACCGCAAAACGACAGATCCACCTAAAGATCACAATGAAGGTATCATTATCATATCATATTCTGTAGCTTATTCAAAGAGACTTATTTAAAATATATTAAACCATGGTTCTATAATTATTTCATTCTAATTATTGGACACGGCCAGATGTGTCTAGCAGAAATTTCTATTAGACCTATTAATTGTAACACGGATTCGAAATCGTGGCCTACCTTGGAGTATTTATACAGCTGTCCTACAGACAATTTCCTAGCCAACTTCCTATTAGGCATTTAAAAATTAAATAAAACACAAGTCGCCGCTTAATCAATATATTTAATAAACTTAAAGGGTTACACAAAAATATAGCAATAACATTATACCCGTATAACACAGACAATTAAGTGCATTCTTTCTGAATATACTAGAGTATAAGCACAAGGAAGCACTTAAAAGGCGGCTTTACATACCATGTAAATAATGCCTTGTAGTCATTAGAACAAACAAAAAATAAAAGAATAATGTCAACTAAACTAAAAAATAAATGACCATGGTCAAGTGTAATCCGAATATCTACTACTAAACATTGATTTATATAACTCAATGCTATTAAATATGTAACAATTTTTTAATTAAATCAACAGAGGTGCTTCAGTCAAACATTTTTGGTCATCTTATTTTATAGCCACAGTATAAACTACATAGTAGCATATTATATGAATATAGTCAGTTACAAAGAATTAATACAAATCAAATTACAACAATAATTAACCAACTAACCCTAGAAATACAGAATAGTTTCTAGCCAATATCAATTATGTAATAAAATGCATCATTGCATCTAGTTATTGCATAAAAATTGTCCGAATTAAGAAATTACAATCTTAACTCCAGCACTAACAATTAAGTAGAGATTTTTTTGTAAGTTTTTGAAAATTTCATATTCTTCAGGTTTATCTCCAAAGAGGTATTGTAACAGGTATGGTAGATTGTCTTTGGTATTCGGGATTAATATAGTCATAGGGAAAACCCACACAGTTTGGTATAGAGGATATAACTGGCGTATAGGCTGATTGAAGATGAGTTTGTGAAGACTGCTGGATAAGCTCTGCACGCAACATCTGCAACATGAAAAGATATTTAGTTTTGCTTCAATGTAAATTTAAAAGATTTCATAAACTTTATTTTTAAAAACTATTTTTTAATGACACACGAAGTTTGACAATATTTTTATGGCAGATTCAACAACATAATGATTTCTTAAATTTACGCGAACACTATACATTGAATAAAACTATTATTTACGGATTTTTTCGCGTTTAATTACTCATCAAATCAAACATCTCAGTCCCCCCCGTGACCATGGGCGCTGTAAAGCACCCGAAACGTCGGGATAATAATAAAAATAAATTAAAGTAATTAAACGCGAAAAAATCCGTAAATAATAGTTTTATTCAAGATTCAACAACACTTAAAATTTCGCGCTTTAAAAATGTAATGTAGACGAGAGTGTTCTCTCGTCTATTTCCTTGCAAATGAGGCACGATCCAACTATGCTCGGGGAAACCCCGCGCTTCATTCAGTGTCTTGTTTCCTGGTTTTCCCTGTCTACAGAGCTGTAATTCTCTCAAAGAACAAGTAGAGAGATACCCATGGTCTTCTAATATATCGAGAGGCGCAGATTATTTTGTTTTGTGGCGCAATGATGTCTTATACCCAAACTTGAAAAAATGGCGCAGAAGCAATTACATTAGTTTTCAAACGAGTTCTGTCGCATCTCAGAGACTTTCTTTTTTAAACAAGAATCTTATTAATGTTAATTTCAATTACTAAAACTATTAACTAAATTCTATAATGTCAAACTTCTTCATAGAAAAGGAGCCTCTAAATATAAGTTAGATAAAACCTAACCTTAGTTATTTATAGGTTATATTAACCTCAACCTTTCTATAGTTTTAAACGGTTTGATTTAGTTTGTCCTGTTATTTGATCTTTTTATATTAAAAAAAATAAAATTTTACCTTCATTTTTGAATTTAATAAGCGTATCGGTATCACAGATATTTTTATAAGCGCATTGGTATCAGTATCGTATCAGCAAAAAGTGGTATCACGGCATTCCTAATTATAACTATCCAAGATTCTAAGATTTAACATTTTAATTATTGTATTACATACTTTGGTAAGAGTACCTTCCAAAATAAAATACCTACGGCTGGTGATGATGAAATTTGCATGGTCCTAAGATCAATTTCAACAAGTGGTAAAATTAGTAATTTCATACAACCAACTTCAATATAAATAAAATGAGAACTCAAATGTAAAAAGCCAATTAAATATGCATCATTAAGGATCACTCAAAAACTTCTAGAGAGACCTAGACCTATTTATGTGTGACCACATGAGAAGCATCGGCTTTCAAATAAAAGAATCATCAAAATCGGTTCACCTAGAAAGTTCAGATGTAACAAAAATACAGTTGAAACCAGAACCTCCTTTTTTGTAGTCGGTTGAAAAAAGATTGCTTTGTTTAGTGGTGCTGTAGTAGTTGTCAGCATGGTCCTGATAATGTGGTCCCAGGTTTGAATCCCAGGTAAAGCCAAATTAATTTTTGGGTTTTTCCGTCAAGAAATTGTCAGTAGCAGCTCAGGCCCCAACTAGGTGGTTTTTCAGCACTATGCCTCTTTAAGCAGATAATGGCAATGGTCATGGACGAAATCTCTTCCCAGCTGTGCCAAAGGGTACTAACCATGGGTCTGTGAAAGTGAGGCGATAGGGTTGGAGTAGACGCCTATCAGAGTGCTCTCGTGATAGTAGAGGTATCCATGGATAGCATACATATGGTAAGCTCTAGATAATTTAACTATTGATGTTATAAAAAATTATTGACATTAAAAATTATAGTAGGTATAGTACCTTAATAGAATTAAGTGCAATCTTTGCTGCTTCTACATTTGCTTGTTCAAATGAGTAACAGGGCCTTGTTCGTAGGGGTCCTATTCGACTGGGTACTGTTAACAATGGCAATCCAACATGTGACAGCTCGACAGTACAAACCCACAGTTCAGCACCAGTAGGGTCAACATACTTTTGATATTTTTTTTTTTTTTTTTTTTTTTTATAGATGGTAAGTGGTGTATTATTTTTAAATATCATAAATTGGTGAATTCCACCTATATCTGAAATATTTAAAATTTAAATTAAAAAAAATTTTTTAATCCTTGTTTTAAAATAGTTCTAGTGTACCAATATTGATAAATTCTCTCAAAAAATAATTTTATCACAATATTCTTATTTTAAAAGAATAAGGCCACCACTATGAAGTTACAAATTAAATTCAGTTAAATTCAACAAAAATGGTGACATTAAAGTGATAAAAATAATACTGCTGTGTTTTGTGTGGCAATTGTAGGGAACCCTTTATACCGGAAAAAAGGCATTCCATCTTAGTCCTCAGGTGTGACTAAATCTGCATTTTTATACAAATATAAATTACTTCGCAACCTTCCACTAACTAAACACAATGATGTGTCTTACCTGGATTGAAGAGCACCTCCTGCCCTACCTCAATTGCATGCACTAACTCCATCACCACTAGTCCTAGCACCACTACTTCCAGGTCACACCATCGACGATAATATGACACGTGTTTCGCTTCTACACGAGGCATCCTCAGGTGATGTAGATTCTATGGCGGCTGACCGCTGCATTTTGATTCATAATTGAGAATAAATGTAATAAGTGCACGGGCCACAGCATTCACTTATATCAGGTGAACTATGTGCTCATCTGTCACCATCCTTAATTTAAAAAAATAAAAAGTTAAAATCTGTTCACCTAGAAAAAAACTATGGACCCATGCTGTCAAGGGCCTATAGTTATAATCCACTACTAAGCATAGGTTACCCCATAAATATTATACAAATATTATTAATGCACAAAGTAAGCGCTCACAGAATACCAGCATAAAATAGCAGCTTAATGCTGCTGTTTTGTATGGCGTTTGTAGGGAACCGGAGAGCCTTTTTCTGGAAATGAGGCATTCCATCTTAGTCCTCAGGGGTGACTAACACACCTGCATTTTGATTTGTAACCAAGGATAAATGTATGAAGTCCACAGGCCACAGTATCCACTTACATAAGTTGGACTACATTCTCATTTTTCAACATATTCGAATTAAAAAACGAAAAAAAATTACCTCTTGCACATTGCATCAAGCTTAACTGGAGCCAAAGTGTAATTCTGTTGAGGCACAACATATGGATATCCAGTGGCTTTACAGTCTATTGATGAACAACAAGAAGATTCTCCTGCACAAGCAGACCCAATGCCTTCATCTTCTTTAAGAGAATTTGCATATTCTTTTTTTCCAAGTGCTGTTTATAAAGCAGTAAAGTTTGAGAAAGGTCAAGAAAATTGTTAAATTTCGCATTGCCTCTGTGCAGCTTTTGTATTCGGTACAACTCCCTATCAACTGGCTTAGCCCATCTTATCTCAATAATACTTCCATCAATATCAGCATTTTGTAATTTCGCCATAGCAAGCTCAGCATGCTCTCTTTCATAGAAATGTATAAATGCATAGTCATATATTTTTTTAACGCGCTCTATTTTGCCATTTGTTGCAGATTCAAATATAGATTGAATTGTTTCTGGGGTAGTACTTATTTGAAAGTTGCGCGAGTATAAAACTTTTACCTGCAAGCATCAATTAATATTATAAACAGTTGGATACTACCAGTGTGTTGTATAGGTAACACAATGCTGCCAGTACTTACACTGGTCATAGCTTACGATTTATTCCAAGTGTAACAATACACTGATACTTGAGCTATATGAACAAACATTAGGGAGACATTACAATAACATTTGTAATTATTTACAATATGAGTTTGGATATAAATGCAATACAAAAGATTAATGAGATTAAATATGAAATAGCTTACCTTTTTCATTTGGTCATCATCAATATCAGGTTCGGGTTTAGCCCAGTTCACCTCTACCTCTTGATCCCAAATCTTGACGCATCCAGGTACTAAAGCACGTCTCGCCATGGCTGCCGCCGTGTGGCAGGTGAACTCCACGAAAGCGAAACCTCTGTTCAGTCTTTTGTCATTACAGTTCTTGTAAAGAATCACGTTCACGATTCCCGACACACGCTTCGAGAGTTCCTGAAAGATATCGTCCTTGGTTTTTGTCTTTGGTATACCGCCTACAAAAAGACGGCAGTTATCAGCGGATTTCACGACTCCGATGTACCTTCGTGCTCTAATCTCGTAACCATTTAGCTGCCTCACAGCGGCAGACGCTTCGGCTTTAGTAGCGTACGTCACGAAGGAATATCCTCTATTAGATCCTGAAAAGTCCATCATCAGTCTCATTTCATAAATCTTACCGACGCGAGAGAATATAGGCACCAACTCGTCTTCAAAAATCTCTCTTGGAAGTTTCCCGATGAATACTTCGCAACCCTTCGGTGGCGGAGGCCCAGTCCAATCGGGAGGTGGTCCGAATTTCCTTTGGCCATTGTGCTGAACAATGGGATACCCTGTCTTCCGCATGAGGTCCAATAATTTAAATGTCATTTGAGGCCCCTGCTCCACCATTTTATAAAATCAAATTCAAGAATCGCGCGCGCACTAAATCAACCGATTAGCAAATGAGCGGCGCTAGTACATAGGTAGTCATTAATCTATGAAGCGGCGATTCAAAGTGGCGGCTACCTTTATACTTTTGCCGACAAAGACAGACTTTCTTGACGGTTGTGACGTAGTATTTTTAATTTGGGGAATTTTGAATAATTTCATGTCTTTTTATGGCATATATTTTCTTTAAAATATTAAATGACAATAAATAGTAATTATTTAATATTTATACTTAATTTCAAAGGTTTGGAATTGAGTTTAAATATTTCAATTATTTGAGGAAAAACTTTTAAGTATTTAATAAAGCTATATTTTTATCACATTTATCAATGTGTCAACTTTTAAAAATCTATTTGAAGTGAAATGTGTTATGTAAAATGAAAAGATAAAAGCTTGTTTCATAAAACATCTCAGATGAAGACTTCATCTGATTAAAACATTGTTAATTTTTATTGAAAAATATTTCAACCACAATGTTATTAAGTAGTTTAACAAACGAAATACCTACCAGTCATTTGTAAAACTTTTAAATTAAGTGTGATAAGGAAAGGAAATAAATTTCAGTTAAAGTTGACGTAGGTACTTTGTTATTAGCAATTTTCATCCAAAAAGAAAATAGTACATATTATTAATATATAACTAAAATAACTGTGTTCATATTTGATTTGTAGTATGTAAGTATGTAATTTTAAACACATATTATGTATAGTTACCTATACCGGATACTAGTAATTGGCTGACGAAACATGTTATTTATACTCATTTATTTATATATGACACATATGGAATAAATATTGTATATACATACTTATAATTATAACTTAAAAAGTAGGAGAGTGGTTAGAGTGCGGTACCTATTATTATTTTTTCTGTGGTGCGGACTACAAGTACCTACACCTAATTGCTTTAAAATTAATGAGGATATCAACGATTTTTTCTGCCACCATTATCTCTTTTTGTACTATTAGTTATATTTTATATAAATTATATTAAAAATAAATACTTAAACCAAACTACAGATATTCATTAAAGAAGACAAATAAAAAAAGGCTTAAAATTGTGCAAAAAATTAAGAGCAAACCCTGAGACATTGTTTTGTGTATGAATATAATACTCTAGAAACTGATAAACTTTTATTTAAAAACTAACTTCTCAATTTTAGTAAATTGTGTGACAAAAATATTCACCTCAATCTCAGCTAGCGACATCTGATGAGCGGAATATTATTAGCCCTCATTGCTTATTGTTCTTAAAGGTTATAGAAATTTAACTTAAATGACTATTTTAAATAATTGCATTTTCTGTTTGTAATATACAAACCCTAAACCCTTTTTTTCTAGAACGGAAATTTCTAGAACTAAAGTATCGTGAGACGGTAACGTTTTGGTACCTACCTAAGTACTATACGGTGAAACCTTACATCTTTGCCCACATATTTCGGTTTTTATTACTTTTTTTAAAAAATATGTACTTTATTTTGATGGTTGCTGAAGCTTTAAATGACACTCTATGCAACAAATAAACTGCTAAAACCAGGTGACATAATTCCTAACAGATGCTGAGAAAAAAACAAAAACAGACGAGGGCAAAGTTATCTCCACTTTCTTACATCTTTGCTCAACCTAAATTTCTCAGCAACTAAAAGTTCTATGACTTTAATTTTAAGATATAATGTTAGCAAACCGGCAAAATGGTATACCATTACATTTTCAAATAAATAGAAGTCCATTTTAAGTTTTAATGGCGATGGGCAATGTTATCACCACATTTAGTCACACTATCATACTAAGAGATTTGAGTGCTAGGGCTGTGCATCAGATGAAAGGAAAATAATAAACCGATTTTAAGGCAATAATGTAACTATATTTTATTTTAAAAATTAAAAACAGAAACTAACTGCACATCAAAAAAATCAGGGAAATCAATGTTTAGGTAGGAAAGTTCTATAAATTGTCTCAGAAATTAACCCTGATAGTTGAGATAAGGAAAAGTAGACAGCGACGATACTTATTTAACATAATACGAGGCCAGCTTATACAGATTTTGTTACCACTGATGTGCGTGGTTCACCTACTGTGCGTACCAATCCATTTTGTCGGCCATTTTTGTCTGCGATCGTTAATGTCTGTCGTTAAGGAGACAATTCTCTCTTAGACTTAATTTTTTTTGCAAACGAATTGCCGCATAAATCTTATTTAAAAACTTTAGCTTGAAACTGAAAACATTTAAGCTCTCTCTTTTGGGAAACTAGCGGTTTCTGACAAAAATTCCCCACAAATATATACCTATTTATTATATTTAAAATAACATATAAAACAGTATCTAGTTACCTATATAGTTATCAGAGCAGTAGTTTAGTTTGCAGTAAACAGTAGTTATTGTTATACATTTTTTATATACCTATATACATTTATTTAATTTATTAAGTATTCCTATATATTTACATTTTATTATATATATAATAATATAATTTTTATTTATTATACATAGGTACATGTTTCCTTGTCTTTTTTTTCAATAGTGTCAACCCTAATAACATTTTTGAGCTGGGCAATGTTGTCGACCGCAGTTTATAAAATTGCTTACAACATTGCCCTCACAATTTTCTCGCTAACTAACACAAGTGTAAGAAAGAGACCCTGATTAAAAGCAGCGACAATTAATGCTCTACACGTAAATAATAATGAATCTTACCTGCGCAGCATTTCTTGGCAATGCGGGATGCAAAACTGCAACAATGTTTTTGCACCACCTTCGACAGATGCCTGAATATAGTTAGCTGCGATATGCATACTCAGTGTCTTTCAAAGCAGATGACTCAGTTATCCCTGACACCATACTGTTGACATTTGTTCAAAATATAAATGTATAGGTGACGTGGGGCATACTTTTGCGACATTTGAAAAGTGTCTGGCGAAAACTTTATTTTGTCGATTTTGCCCATATACGTCATTTCTGACATGGCGCAAATCGTTAATGGGTACACGTCAATTATTAGCTATAAGAAGTTTTAAATTATTCAAAATTCAACAGTTTCTGCTTAAAACGAGGAAGACAAGGAATAATTTTTTATATGCATGATGAAGAATTGGCCATCAAGGGGAAGACCGGACGTCGCTAAAAATCGCAAACAAAAGGTGATAGGGAAAGATCGGACAGACGAAAAAATTCAAAAATTACCTTGTTTTATAAAATACTGCGCAGCACACGCCCTACTTTTCGGAGCGACTGGCTGAAACTTGCGGTGGGACAATATGGTCTTGTACCATATTGCTAGCTTTCAAAAATATAGCATAATTCGCCGGAAATTTGAATTTTACGGTCTTACCTCATCACCGATCTTACTCCAATGCACTATATATCGGTAGTTTTAGTTAATTTTCGTGTTTGGGCAAAGATGTCCCCCAAGGGCAAAGTTGTAAAGTTTCACGGTACCTTTAATTTTGACTGAAGTATTTAACTATAAACGATAGGTGAAATAATAAAACATGGTGTAAAAAACAACATTAAATTTGTAAATGCAGAATATGGGTGATTGGGTGAATTAATTAAGATTGAAATTATATTATCATTTATCACTGCCATCTTTCGAAAGAAAATATCAGGATACTAGGGATCCGCCCCGACATCGCACGAGTGGTTTCTGGATCTCGACAACAGCGCCACCTACCGCGTCCAATAGTGAATCTAAATCATTATCGAACCAACTTAATCACACACACAAAATTTCATCGCAAACAGTTCCGCCGTTTAGGAAGAATTTCGTAACATACTCACGGACAAAAGAATTATATATCTAAAGCTTTAGTATTCTATGAGGGCCTATTTCAAATACCAGCGAAAAGACCACTATTTGCGAATATCTTTGTGAATTTGTTATTGTTAAGCTTTTATTTAAAAAAGCGGAAACTTTGGAGAAATGCCGGATGCATTAAATTTGGGTTGAATGGTCTACGATTAAATATTTTGCGGGACTCTATCTCAGCACTTGTCTACCTTGCCTTGGTTAGTCCAGTAGTTGTAAGCGCGACTGATCACGGTTCGAATCCCGGGTTGGGTCAAATCCAGTTACCTCGTTGATTTTTCTAACAAGAAATTCTCAGGCGCAGCCTAGAGCCAGTAATCAGTTGAGAAAACTCAAATGTGCTTGTACAACGTTATGTTTTTGAGGTACTGTAGAAAGCTTGATATAATGTTTTTAGAATTAAACAGAGAAACATTACGTTACATTAGTGCATTTCACTTTACTTTGGTCGTTAGTTTCTCTAAAATAAGTCCAAATAGTAGATCTCCTGCCACTCATTTTTATTATATAATTATGAATTTTCACTAAAAATAACACAACGAAATACTTTTTTTCTCACAAAAATAGTCAAAACATAAGCATGTGCTGGCAGTTTGCTCAGGACTATAAAAACACGTCAGGTGTGGCGGGGGAGCGAGGGGCAGTGTCCGGCGCTAATCCTGGTTAGGTACCGAGGTGATCCTGCCGAATAATGATCGGCCGAATATTCAGTTCGGTAAAACTTTTACCGAACCTTCGGCCGAATATTCGTATTCGGTGAAACCATATTCGGCCCATCTCTAATATATAATATAATGACCTTTGCTAATTCCCTATAGTGGCAACTAAATACGTCAGTTTTAAGATGCACACCGTTGACCACATGAAGAGTTCGAGTTAGAGTTGTCATTGCTAGGAGATTCGTTCGTGCTGAAGGCACCGGCAGGAGCATACCCTCGACGTACTTCTAATTTGTTATATCCAACCATACCTAGTACAAAACGAGTAGGATACATCAACGGATAAAATGGATATACTCCGTAAAACTTAAAGTACAAGTTCCTCGCAAATTTGTTTTGAACATGCTCTAACATTACCTTAATATACTTTTCTTCATACGGACCCCATATGACTGCATTACGTTCCAAATGACTCCTGACTGGTGCGTCATAGGGCT